ACCCGGACACAGTCTGACGGGAAGGAGGGAAACTCAAACTGCTGAGAGGAGAGAGAAAGAGAGAGAGAGGTGGAGAGAGAGAGGTGCAGAAATGGGCTTCCTCCACAGCCTGCAAAGAACAGTGTGAGAAACACTGGCGAGGAGACGCTCACGGAGTCGAGGCCATGGCAGGAGAGGGTGCAACTGTCGCATTGGCCAGGCCTCGTGGGACATTTCACCCCAGGAATGGCTTGGGCGGACCCATGTCTTCCCCCCAGCCGTGCCCCAACCCAAACCCCGGAGGGGACGGCTTCTGGGGGGCACAAGGGCTTCAGAGCCACCAGCTCAGAGCTGCGGCTCACGTCGACATGGATGAGACTTGCCCCGAGAAAAGGATGCTCTGCCAATGGTCTGGGCTGCTGGAAGAGCCCTGTCCTCCCTGCACAAAGACTTTGCCCCACGCAGGGGCAAGGTGGCCACGGGGGAAGGTAGCCAGCCCCATCCCAGCTATGCATAGCCCCATGGTGGGGTGCCAGAGGGCACCGCCATGCCGTGCCGGGGCCGCCGACCACGGGACCGCTGCACCCTCTCCCAGGACAACGAGGCGAGAGTCCCGCCGGAGCAGCAAAGAGCACAGACTGATGAGAAGAAGGAAGGAAGGAAGGAAGGAGGAATGCTCGGTAGTTAGTGTGGTGCTGGTTCAAAGGATGGAGAGGCTGGTTACCTTTGTTGCGATTTTCGGGGGCTCCGGTTTTTTTACCTGTTCAAAGAGAGAAAGGGTGGAGGGCTGAGCACATGGACCCATGTTCAACGACCAGCTGATGGGACAACCTGGGGTCGGCCCTGCTCCGAGGGGCCGCGCACCGCTCCGGCAGCATCCGTGCGCAGGGCTCAGCACCCTGCGGTCACCCTCCGGACACCACGTGTGCCTTGGTCCACAGCTCGCGGCACAGGGGAGGCTCTGGAGCACCCTGACTCCCCCCGGGCACCCCGTCCCCAAAGCTTCAGACTTCCCCACCTGCAAAGCACCCGCTACAACCCCTGTCAGTGCTTCAAAGGGTGCCAGTGGTGTCTCAGACCCTTGGGGAGAAAAAACCATAAGCGGAGCTCAACCTCCGTGCAGCACATACTGAGCACCCGTGCTCCCTGCCTCCCGCTGCCATTGGGCACAAGCCGATCCACCCAGGAGGCACAGACTTGTCCCCTGCCGTGGGCAGCACTATCCCCGTAGCGGGGGGCTCTGCCCCCCGTGTCTGTGGTGGGCAAGGTCCACACTCAGGGGTCCTCAGTGTGCCTCCACAACACGGGGAGCACAGGGTTGCTGCAATCTAAACAAGCCTTGTGCGATAAAGGGTTTATACACCTTCCTCCCATCACCCCGCAGCAGTGGGGGATGAGCCCATGAAGCCTCCTGCCCCACTTTGCTCCCAAATCGAGGGCTGCGAGGCACAGGGCACAGAGCTGGGTTTGCTGTGGGGCTGAGCGACAGAGTTTGGGGGCTGGGAGAACACCGAGCACCGTGCCTGGGCGCCTGGCAAGCTGCTGCGCCGGTCCACCAGCGCCCCCGGCTCATCGTGTCCCC